CCAGGTTCCGACCCAGCAGAAGCCGGTCCAGGTTCCGACCCAGCAGAAGCCGGTCCAGGTTCCGACCCAGCAGAAGCAGGTCCAGGTTCCGACCCAGCAGAAGCAAGTCCAGGTTCCTCCACAGACCCTGAAGGTGTCTCCTCAGAAGAACGCCTCCACTCAGCTGAAAAGTGTGGCGCAGCAGGTGGCCCTGCAGTCCAGCACTGTGGTCCAGGTGAGTTCAGGCTCCATCAGGAAGTTCCCCTTTCCTCCCACAGGGCTGCAGGATCATCTCTCAGGTCTGACCTGCTTTAGACTGATTTCACACTAGTGCAGGAATCCCCAAACTCAGCCCTGGAGGGCTGCTGTCCTGCAGGGTTTTTGAGGTACAGCTGATTTCCATTGATAGCTGATTATCAGGCTTCTGCTGAACTACATTAATCAGAATCAGCTGTGCTGAAGCTGAGAAACCTCTAAAACCTGCAGGACAGCGGCCCCCCAGGACCGCCTTGGGGATGCCTTCACTAGTATTTAAATTCCCTCAATACAGAAACACAGGAGCAGGAAATGTTTGGAGGTTGGTCCACAGAGGAAAAGCTTTTTAATCCCAGTCTATGCATTAAAGTTTTAATGTCAAATAATTCTGGCTTGAACATCTATATAAATGTACTCTTTATCAGACCACATTGTCCCAAAAGTTAGAAAATTTCTATTTAAAAAAAATTCTGTCTTAAAATCTGAGTTTTTTTTTTCGTTATCTTATGCAGGCCAGTTAGTTATACGTCAGCCTGAACATCTAAATTTATCCAATCATATATCAACGATCATCTGTCAATCAAATGTTTTCAGTCATAGCATCTTGATTCATATGTCGCAGCTATTATACGTAACGGTTGAAATTAGAATAATTTCCTTTCCCATTGAGTTCCGTCCCAGTGTTCACGGGGATGGACGCCTGTGTCTTCAGCAGGCGTAGAGCTAACAGAACTGGCAGCGTTGCGAGGCAAGGGCTCAAACATGTATGGCTGTAAGCCTTCTACACCAGACCAAGCTTCTGCCGCCGTGGCGTCCTCTTCCACAACAACTACGTCCCCGCTTTCCTCCTCTAAATAAAAAAATGTGTGACGGAGGAGACCCATCCACGACCTCTGACACCAAACTCTCCTCCTCTTGCATGTTTCCACTGTCCATAGCGTTCCTTGACAGTGTCGTTTCTAAGTCACCAATTTAATGCTACTTGGTCCCAATGGAATTTCCCATTGGGAACCTACTAGCACTAAGTTGCTAACTGGTTAGTAAGATGCTTCCAAAAAACCAGCTACAACCAAACTTGCTTGCGAACCTTCCGCCAACAATCCCGCCCCCTTGATAAACGAACAATCACAATCAATTCGGAAATGCAACGGTTGAAACAGCCGCTTCCCTATGACTTTAAAGCAGGGTTTTATTATTTTTTTCATGAAATTCCAAAAAAGTTAAAATCCACTGGACTTTGTTTCCAAATTTGAAGACGTTTCTCTTCCCATCCAGGAAGATTTTTCAATTCAAAATGTCAGAAATGGCATTCAGAGTTCTAGGCTTTATACAGTAGCCCAACAAAGCCTTTTTTTTTGTTCAGAAAACATGAAAATTGAAACGGACGATTGGCTCCACCCCTTTGGAATGGGGGTGATTTAGCTTCTTTGTTAGCCTGCAACGCCCCATGCCTGTCTGTGTCTTTTTTATGAAACTCATTTAGCATCGGAGCGTCGGGTCGCACAGCGTGAGAACAAACATCGTGAGCTGTGAACTTTTAAAGCCTGAGGTTTAGTTGTACAGTTTGAGATATAGCTGCGTGCAACCATTGCAAATATCGCACAGTGTATGCCCGGCTTAATAACGGTAAAAGTAATACTCTCAAGTGGAATATTCAAAACGTTTTCATATATTAACAATTACCTGACAACAAAAACACTGGTTAATTATATATCATCAATATCCTAACATTAAAGATGATAAATCCAGAATTTATGCTCTTTTCAGAACTAGATTTTGTGTTTTATGGGGTAAAGAGAAAATGATGTATCTCTGCAAGTCATCCAGCAGTCTTCAGTGAAA